GTGCACATACCCTCTGGCAAATTTTTTTTAAAAATAGAAATACACAAATAGAGATGACAAAAAGGATGCATGCCAATGAACATGTACAACTTTTATAATTAAAAAAGCATAAATATTCTTGAATTCTCACTTCATATCAAATTCCCTTTTTCTCTTTGCAGTCTAGCTTTGGCCTTCTTTCAGTTTCTGAAATACAGGCATATCTCATGCACTGCACTTCACAGACACTGTGTTTTTCACAAACTGAAGGATTGTGGCAACCTTGTGTTACTCGTCTACCCCCATCTCTCTCTCTCTCTGGTTCTCCCTGCTCCCTGAGACACAACTATATGATATTAGGCCAGTTAATAGGACCTCTTAGTGTTTAAGAGAAAGAAAGAGTTGCACATCTCTCACTTTAAATTGAAAGCCATAAATGCTTAAGCTTAGAAAGGAACGCCTGTTAAAAGCTGACAGCCCAAAAGCTAAGCCTCTTGTGCCAAGTAGCCTTGCAAGTTATGAATGCAAAGGATAAATTTTTGAAAGTGCTACTCCAGTGAACACATAAACAATAAGAAAAGAGGGACCAGCAATTAGCATAATGGCTATGTCACTGGACTCCCATGTAGTCGACTGAGGTTTGAGTCCCGGACCCAGTGGCTTAACATTCACGCCGGGCGCATGTGCATGCATGCCCAAGATCCCTAGAGGAGAATGGAGGAGAAAGGATTGCAGCCTGGCCATCCCCTCTAGGGGGTGATATCTCACTTTCTGTCTCTCTGTCTCTCTCTGTCTGGCAAGTGCACGCACCCTATAGCAAAAACCTCTCCAAAAATAAAAACAATAAGAAAAGGAAACAATCTTATTGCTGATAGAAAGTTTTGGTGGTCTGAATAGATCATACCAGCCACGCCAGAAGGTGCTGTGGAGGTGATGGCAACTGGATTCCACATGGCTGACTCTGGTTTGAGTCCTAGACCTCATGGCCTGAAAAAATACTGAGTATGTGTGCATGCATGCCAAAAATCCCCAGAGGTGAATGGAGGAGAAGGGATTGCTGTGTGGCCATCCCTCCTGGGGGGAGGGAGTGATTTTTCACTCTCCCTCTCTCTTTCTCTGTCTCAATCTGGTGAGCATATATGCTCTATGGAAAAAAAAAGAGAGAGAGAGAAAGAAAGAGAGAGACCAGTTGCAATATTTTCTTAAACCAAAGCCTAATCCACATTAACCCTGTCTTCAATTCCATGAAGGCTGAAAAGGTAAGGAAGCTACAGAAGAAAAGTATGAAGCTAGGAGAGGTGTTTTTTTTTCCCCTCAGAATTATTAATTTAATTTTATTTATTGATTTTAATTTGACCAGAGAGAGAGGGGGGAAAGTGAGAAACCAAGCTGCCAAGTCCAAGACTCAAACCACAGTAACCATGTGGGAGTCCAGTACTTCTATGCCACCTGCCAGCCTCAGAGATTTGTTCTTAAGGTTTAAGGAAACAAGCTGTCTCTGTGACACAAGTGAAAGGTGCAAGGTGAAGCAGCAAGTGCTCCATGTCTAATGACCACCCTCATCATCACCCCTGCTCTCTTCACCTGTTAAATTCCTGCTATACCTTCAACTCTCAGATCAATTTTGACTTCCCCAGAGAAGACCTTCTTGCCCCTCCCTGAGTTGAGCCCCTCCCTTGCCCAGATTGGTCCAGTACCTTATAACTCTTTGTTTCACTTAAGAATTGGCATTTTGGGGGACCAGCAGTTAGCGTAATGGCTATGTCGCTGGACTCCCATGTAGTCAACCATGGTTCAAGTCCTGGACCCGGCAGCTTAAACTCACGCCAGGCGTGTGTGCGTGCGGGCCCAGGATCCCAAGAAGAGAATGGAGGAGAAGGGATTGCGGCATGGCCATCCTCCCAGGGGGGTGATTTCTCTTCTTCTATCTCTCTGTCTCTGGTGAGTCGCCAGTCCCTAAAGCGAAAACCTCTCCAAAAAAAAAAAAAAAAGAATTGTCATTTTGGTGGGGCTGGCAGGTGGTGTGATGGTTAAGGGTGCTGGACTCCCACTTTCCCTCTCACTTTCCCTCTCTGTCTCTCTGTCCCTCCCTGAGCAAAATAAAATAAATAAAGTTAAATAAAATAATTAAAATTATATATTATTCAGGGCAAGAGAGAAAAGAGAGAGGGGAAGTAAGAAAGCAAGCTGCCAGGTCCTAGACTCAAACCACAGTCAGCCATGTGGGAGTCCAATGCCCTTAACTACCATGCCACCTGCCGACCCCATCCAATAAAATAATTCTCAAAAAAAAAAATTGTAATTTTGGGGGCCAGCAAATGGCATAGTGGTTAAGGTGCTGGACTTCCATGTGGCTGGCTGGAACCAGTGGCTTGAAACTTATATAGGGCACATGTGTGTGCTTGCCCCAAATCCTGAGAAATGAATAAAGGAGAAGGGATTGCAGTGTGCCCATCCCCCCTCTGGGCGTGATTTCTTGCTTTTTTTCTCTCTTTCTCTCTGTGTCTTCAGTGAGCACACATGCCCTATAGCAAAAATCTCTCAAAAAAAAAAAAAAGAATTCTAATTTTGGGGCCAGCAGGTGGTAAGGTAGTTAAGGTGTTGGACTCCCACATAACTGACTGTAATTTGAGTCCCAGACCCAATGGGATGAAAATCACATTAGGAGAAGAATGGATGGGAAGGAATTGCAGCAAGGCCATCCTCCCTGGGTGGTGATTTCTCACTGTGTCTTTCTCTCAGTCTTTCTTCAGCAAATGCATATGTCCTATGGCAAAAATCTGAAAAAAAAATCAAATTGTAATTTTTCATTTCTTTCATGAACCTCGAGTTAGTCAAATTGCCAGTTTAGGGCAATCTGTCCTCCAGATTGCCAAGTTTGCCCGATCATTCTCATGTTTAATAGTCTAATAGAAGAACTCATTAAAACCTGTCATACTCATGATTGCACTTACTATAGGAAAAGGATGAAAATGAGAATCAGACAAAGAGAGACATATAAGACAGAGACTGGGAGGCTTCTGAATATAAATCTGTTGTTCTCATGATGCCATAGGCTCCTCCTTCCTATGTGGGCTAATACACATAGAGTATTATTTATCCAGGAAGCTCCCCAGAGCTCCAGTGTCCAACATTCTCATTGAGGTTTCATTATGCAGGCATGACTAATTGAGTGTCCACATAGTTGAACGCAGCCTCTAAGTCATATAGTTGGTCTTTCTGGATTTCTGGTTGTGGCTAGTTTCCTCTCTAAGGCTACTAGGTATGACTGGTGCAACCCAACTCACCTCATTAGCATAATATCAGGTGTGGTCCCAGGAGCTCACAGGAGTAAGAGAAATACTTGTATCACCCAGGAAGCTCCACGTTTTAGAGGTTACTTCCCAGGAGTCATGACAAAGGCCAGTCCTCTCTTTAGCAGGACATTTTTTTTTACTATACAGCATGTTTGTGTGAATAATGTCTCCTCTCACCCTTCAGCTCTGAAAGTACATGGATTATACCTAGATTTGCTCCCAGTTTCATTCCTAGGATCTTGCATAGTGGTTGGCAAATTTTGAGAGTCTGCATAAAATAGACTTGAGAATCAGATCATCAGAATTTGAATCTCGGCTCTTCTTTTCACTGAGTGAACCTGAACACGTTACTTAAATTCTTGTTGCATAATTGAACTTATCTGTAAACTAGAGGTAATAATAATCCTTAGAGTTACAATGAAGTAATGAGTTACAAACATCAGTAAAGTTGTCAGAGTAGTACCTGCCACAGTGTAAAAGCTTAGGAAAACATCCAATGTTATTAAATGCTCAATAATTACTAATGGAACAAGTTTCTGGCACATGAGATGTGCTTAGCATTTTCTTATTGAAAGAAGAAAAAATAACATTTTTTCCTTTAGATTTTCCTGTTAATATAGTACCAGATCTGCTGATTTGGATCTGTCACTAATTATTCTAAAGATTGTAAATCAACAGTATGCTTAAAAGTACCCAAAAAAGTTTCAGTTCTGTCACTTCACCATCAGCCAGTGCCCCCAGCCATAGAGTAAGGAATTAAATTAGCAAGGATTCAAGGTCTCTTCCAACTCCAACAACATGTTATTTGTCCTTAGGAAACAAACTAGATATAACAACAGAGAAGACCATTTTACATGGAGGCATGAAAACTTTGAATGTGTAAGTTTCCATTAATAAGAAAAAGGAATAAAGAGAATATTTAGTTGATTACCAAATTCATTTTAATGTGTGACAACATAGATTTGAATTGTGGCAATGCATTTTTATTAATTTGGTAGAATTTGAGTCCCTGGTAAGCCAGACTACAAAGGTCTTAGAAAATTAATTTAATCTACAAGAAATGGCTAATTTTATCTTGGTGCTTAAACTGGCCAAATGTAAGTTCTAGATGGTGACTGGTAATAGAATTAGTGGTGTCTTTAAAAAGAGATTCAATACCTTCAAATCAAATCATACTCCTGCCAATGAGGAAAAAAAGAACAAACTTTAAAAATCTTTTTTCAGTTGGGCCAGCAGGTGGCATGGAGATTAAATCATTGGATCCCACATGACCGATTTTGCCATCCTAGTCTCTAATCCAGTGGCTTGAAAATCACACCAGGCATGTGTAGGTGCATGCCCCAAATCCCCAGAGAATGGAGAAGAAGGGATTGTGACATGGCTACCCCCTCTGGGGTATGTTTTCTCACTTTCCCTGTCTCTAACTCTGTCTCTCTCAAGAGTACACACACCATATTGCAAAATTTAAAATAAATTTGTTAAATTGTTTCAGTTACAAAATAATGTGTATATGTTTAAATACAATAACTAAATGTTTTTAAATTGATTTATTATTATTAATCCATTATTAAATTATTTAATAATAAAATATAAATATATTCCAAAACCTTCCCACCATTTTTATTTTTCAGAAGAAACAAATGTTTATTCCACATATTTCTGTGCATATGCATACAATAATAAACAAGAATTTATTCACCTGTTCCTGTCTCTTGCCATTTTTAGTGTTACCACAGGCAGTCACTCAATTTGAAGAACTGGTTGGTATGGCAGAGGCCCTGCTTAAGGGTGGAGGAAGCATGTCTACATCAGCGTCTACTCTCTGGAGAGCAACAAACAACTCCTCACCAGACTCATTTGCATCAGTGTGCAGTAATTCCAATTCTAATTCCAGTTCACCAATTTCCTTGAAGGCTGAGGAAGAGCATCATGTTGATGAGAAACAGGTCAGTTAAGATACCTGTCTAATTGAAATACAGTTAAATACAAAAAAAAGTGAGGATTATATGGTAATTCTTTTGTCAAACTTTAGGTAAGTTTAGGTTACCACCATAACATTACAGTTGCATAAAACTATTTTCTTTTTATAATAAAAACTAATATTTGCAAAACAAATATCCAGAAAACAAAAGGCAAATCACGGACAAAGATGAAGTTATTAAAACTATAAAATCCTTAAACCAGCAATGGAAGGATACCTAAGGATTAGGTTAAATTTTTTTTAAATCCTTGACAGGAGGTGAGTTTCAGGCTTAGCATACTAACGGAACACAGTTCTTTTCTACTTTCCTAATTTTTCTCAATCAAGAAACAGAAGCTAAAAGACAAGAGTTTTGTTAGAATCAGGTCTCAACCTCTGAAAATACACCTTCAAAAGTGATAATTAGAGGTCACCTTATGATAGTTAATGGAGCTGGATCCCACATGGCCGACTGCACAGTTAAAGTCCCAGGCCCAATGGCTTGATAAACACCAGATGGGAGCAAGTGCACATGCCCAAAATCCCAAGTGAAGAATGAAGGAGAGGGGACTATGGTGTGACCAATCCCCCTGAAGGATGATTTCTTATTCTCTTTTTCTCTTTTCCACCCACACCCTCCACCCCTGTGAACACTTGTACCCTATAGGAAAACTAGAAGGAAAAAAAAAGGAATAATTAAATCCTGATTAACAATCTAACATCTGAACATTTGAATCTTAGTGTATCCGTTTCCTATTGCTATGTAACAGTTTACCACAAACGTAGTGTCAAACAACACAGATTTACCCTGTCAGAGTTCTGTGGGTACACATACAGGTTTGTCTGATACTGGTCTCAGTAGACCAAGGTCAAGGTGTTGGCAAATGCATTCCTTTCTGGAGTCTCTAGGGGAGCCTCTGCTTCCTGCTTATTTGGGCTGCTGTAGAATTCAGTTTCTGTGGCTGTAGAACTGAAGTCTCTTACTGACTGGGAACTGAAGACTATTCTCACTTTTAGTGGTGATCAACATTTCTTGGTTCAAAGTCAGTTTCCACCATTTTCGAAGCCAGCAATGGCAGCTCAGGTCCTTCTTCCTCTTTGAATCTTTCCTTCTCCCTCCCTCTTTTTCTGACTCACTCTTCTGCCTTCCTTATATCCTTTTTAAGAAGTCGGATAATGGGAACCAGCAGTTAACGTAATGGCTATGTCGCTGGAGTCCCACGTAGTCGACTGCGGTTCGTGTCCTGGACCCGGTGACTTAGAACTCACGCCGGGCGTGTGTGCGTGCGTGCCCAAGATCCCGAGAGGAGAATGGAGGAGAAGGGATTGCGGCGTGACCATCCCCCCTGGGGGGTGATTTCTCGCTTTCTGTCTCTCTGTCTCTCTCTGTCTGTCTGGCGAGCACACGCGCCCTATAGTGAAAACTTCTCCAAAAAAAAAAGAAGTCGGATAATTAGATTGGGCCCACCTAAATAATCCAGGCTAGTGTCTCATTTTATGATACTTAACTTCAATCACATCTACAAGATTGTTTTTGCCCTGGGAGGTAACATGTTCTCAAGTTCCAGGCATTAGGATGTGGGCACCTTCACAGGGCCATGCTTTTGCCTATCATACTTAGTGTGAAGCATTGAGGGTGGGATTAATCCTTAAAGCACCAAACCCAGATCACATAACAATAATTTATATAAAACTTGGAACAAATACCTCAGAGATATTGATAATTATCTCATGGTTAACATTTAACTCTAACCTCTGAAATGTAAAAAAAATATTAAAAGTATCACTTTAGAGGCCAACAGGTGTCATGGTGGTTAAGGCTCTGGATCCCACATGCCCAACTCCATGGTTCGAGTCCTGAACCTGGTGGCTTGAAAGACACACTGGGTACGTGTGCGTGTGTGCGCAAAATGCTGAGAGAAGTATGGAGGAGAAAGGATTGCACTGTGGCCATTCCACCCAGGAAATTCCCCCACATCCCTCTCTCTCTGTCTTCCTCTGGCAAATGCTTGTGTCTTACTTATGGCAAAAGAAACTTAAACCAAAAAAAGGTATCAGTTTATTAAAAAGTATTGATATTGTTTTACTATCTCATAACTTCATTAGCAGTATTTCTCCAGATATCATTTTATTTTTCCAATGTCAATTTTTTTTTATTTTTTAGTTCAAGATTGAAAAATGGCAGATTGCCCGCTGTAATAAGAGCAAGCCTCAGAAGTTTATTAATGATTTAATGCAAGTACTTTACACGAATGAATACATGGCCACACACAGCCTGACGGGGGCTAAATCCTCTACTTCAAGGGACAAAGCCGTAAAACCAGCTATGAATCAGAATGAAGTTCAAGAAATCATAGGTGATCATCTGAGTGCATTATATTTTCACATGAAGTTGAAATTTTCTTACCATTCAAGGTTGCATTATTCTTTCATGGTCTTTTTTGTTTTTCAAATTTATTTTTTTTTTGAGAATTCTTTATTTAATTTTATTTATTCATTTATTTTAATTTGACGAGACACACACACACACACACACACACACACACACACAGAAATGGGAAACGAGAAACCAAGCCACCAGGTCCAGGACTTGAACCGTGGTCAGCAATGTGGGAATGTTCAGCGCCTTAACCACCACACCACCTGCTGGTCCCCTCAAATTTATTTTTCTTTGAAAAAAATAAAACTCGTAATACTCTAAAGCTTTTATTACGTATAGGAAATATTATACAAAAAGTTAACTCTAAGAATGATTATTAAAACTAAATTTTATATCACTAAAAACTTTAATTCAGAAAATTCTTTTTTGGGGAGAGGTTTTTTGGCTATAGGGTACATGTGCTCACCAGAAAGACAGAGAGAGACAGAGAGACAGAAAGCGAGAAATCACCCCTGGAGGCAGGGATGGCCACACTGCAATCCCTTCTCCATTCTCCTCTCTGGGCACATCTGCATACACACCTGGCGTGAGTTTAAGCCACCGGGTCTGGGACTCGAACTGCAGTTGACTATGTGGGAGTCCAACATCATAGCCATTATGCCAACTGCTGGTCCCTAATTCAGAAAATTCTAGCTAGCTTTAAAAAGTAAATTTTCAAAATATTTTAAAATAAAATTTCTATAGGGCCAGCTGGTGGTGTGGTGGTTAAAGCAGTTGCATCCCACAGAGCCGACAGCGCAGTCTGAATCCCAAACACAGTGGCTTAAAAAAACATGTCAGGGGGCCAGCAGGTGGCACGGTGGTTAAGGACACTGGACTCCCACATGGTTGCCCATGGTTTGAGTCCTGGACCTGGTGGCTTGCTTCCTCACCTCTCCACCTCCCCCCCAAATCCCTCTCTGGTCAAATAAAATAAATAAAGTTTAAAAAAAAATTCTCAAAAGAAAAAAAGCATGTCAGACATGTGTGCATGCTGCCCCAAATCCCCAAAAGATTGAGAGATGGAGGAGAAAAGATTGCAGGTGACCATCATGTAGCACCCCATGGCCATTCTTTCTCCCTAGCCCTCTTTCTGTGTTTCTCTGCCTCTCCTTCGCAAGCAAATGTGCCCTTCAGCAAATCTTTTAAAATAAAATAAAAATGACTTTAATAACAGTTTATAGCTTGTTTTTTTATGTTTGTTTATATCCCTCATTTTTTATTATAGAGAGAGGTTAATTTAACTATTCTTTTTTTCTTAACAAATTATTTCATTTAACTTTATTTATTTATTTTCATTTGACCAGAGACAGACAGAGTGATAGAGAGAGAGAGAGAGAAGGAAAGCAAGCAAGCTTCCAAGTAGGGACTTAAACTGTGGTTGGCCATGTGGGAGTCCAGCGCCCTTAACCACCATGTGACCTGCCAGCCCCTAATTTAACTATTCTATTTAAGGTTTTTAAATCCATGAACTTCTTTAAATATAATCATCTAGAGTAATTAATTTTTTTTTTGCAAACAACTTACAAATTTAGAAATTCTCTAAATCCCAGCATGTGTGTTTGTGTAACACACACATAAATAAAATATGTATAATATATATACATATTATATATTATATATATATACATAATTTCTTAACTGAAAAATATATAATACATATATATAATTTCTTAACTGGAAAAAAGATGAGCCAGAACTAGTTGTTTCAACTGATACTGGGAATATGTAAATTTAATTCATAAAGTCCAGCAGGTGGCATATTGGCTACATTTCTGGACTCCCACATGGCTAACCATGGTTTGAGACCTGGATCCGGTGACTGGAAAAACACACTGGGCACGTGTGCGTGAGTGCCCAAGATCCTGGGAGGAGAATGAAGTAGAAGGAATTATGATGTGGCCAAATCTCCCTGGCGGAGATTTCTCACTTTCCCTTTCAGTCTCTCTCTCTCTCTCCAGCAAGTGCACATGCCTTAAGGCAAAACCCTCTAAATAAATTTTTAAAAAATTTTAATTAATAACATTTGGAAAGAAGGGGACTTAGAGTTCAAACCAAGTAGTAGAGTTAAAGTTGAATGGCACCATTAGAAGATAAATACATTTGCTTTCAATTTATAATGTAAACCTGATAATGTTTTGTTTTGATTTGAAATGTTTGCCTATATCTTCATCCATTTAAATATTTTACGGGTAGTTGGGCTACTTTTGGGAATAAAATTATAATGTAGAATGCTTGATATTTACCTGAGTACAAATCTTAAAATGCAAAAGCTTCATAAAGTATTCTTGTGTGTTAATTATTTTTTCTACAGGAGTAACAAAACAGTTATTTCCCAACACAGACGATGTTTCAATTAGGCGAATGATAGGGCAAAAACTAAACAACTGTACCAAGAAGCCAAATTTAAGCAAAAATCTTAACTCTCAGGATATCAAATAGATACTTTTGGTAAGTCTTTTGAATCTTCATAATTCCCTTCAACATGGCAAGAAAATGTAATGCTTTTATCTGTAGAATTGCATTTTCCAAATACTCTAGTAGAGAATACTAGTGGCCTGGGAAATGCTAATGACTATTCCTGGGAATGGTGGGGACTGGAAAAGGGATTTACATTTGGGAAATGCTGAGTTCCATTATATATATTTTCATTTCCCAGCTCTCAGATATTTTGACACATTTAAATCTGTCCATGTGCACCAGAAATCTCTAAAGAAGACAATTTAGTATGTAGGTTTCTTTTCCAATTTTTCTGCACAGAACACATGTTAACTTGGAGGTAGGGATAAAAAAGAGTCAAAGGAGAAACACATGAGAATTTAGGAAGTATTTCTCTAGAACAAAGGCAATTTCAGACCACTGGGAAATCTCTGAGTACATTATTAGTAAGACTGAATTTAAGGTTCTACACAGTGCTTGGTTGGACATGTGCAAATAAACTATTGACCAAAATATAGAGCATGTGCTACCATCCTCCGATACTGTATTTATTGTCTTTAAGTCTTCAAATCAGAAGTTACAGTTTAATAAAGGTTTTTTGGGGGGGAGGTGGTATTTTTCAGGTTTTGGCCATAGGGGATGTGCTCTCACTGGAGAGAGACAAAGAGAGGAAAAGAGAGAAATTACACATACCCCGGCGGGGGGCTGGGGAGGATGGCCATATTGCAGTTCTTTCTTTCTCCTTTAATCTCCTTGGGTTTTGAGTATGCACACATATGCACCCAGTGCGATTTTCAAGCCACCAGGTTCTGGACTCAAACCATGGTCAGTCAAACGTGTGGGAATCGAGGACCTCAACTACCACACCACTTCCTGGCTTCACAAGAACAGGATTTTTTTTGTTTTGTTTTTTTGAGAGTTTTTTGCTACAGGACACGTGCACTCGCCAGAAAGACAGAGAGAAACAGAGAGACAGAAAACAAGAAATCACCCTCTATAGGGATGGCCATGCCACAATCCCTTCTCCTCCATTCTCCTCTCAGGATCTTGGGCACGCAAGCCACTGGGTGCAGGACTCGAACTGCGGTCAACTACATGGGAGTCCAGTGACATAGCCATTATGCCATTTGCTGGTCCCCCACAATAACAGTTTTCATCTCTAAATTTGCATTACACTCAAAAAAATGATTTGTTTTTAGTGAGGTTCTTTATAGTCTGGCCTTGATTCAGACAAGCCTATGAAATGGAATTTTGTGATGGCTTTCGCAGCCTGATGTCCTGGCCAGTTCACCTGCGCTCCCCCTTTCTTTCTCTCCATTAATTAATCAATGCTGTTATTAAGATGAACATTGATTAGCAGAGTCATACAGCAGTGCATGAGGGGAAGTCCTCTGCAGGTACCTTTTTTTTTCCTTTGATTGTCTTTCTCTGTTTACCTTTATCTCTGACTAACTCTAGCCACATTTGAGGCCGTTTTATTTGGCTTACTTCTTCTGACCATATTTTAAAAAGGGTGCTGAACTATAGGAAATATGGTTAATTCCTGCCACCCTACCCATAACTGACTTTTACCCCCACTCTCCCTGTGGGTCTCTTGGATATGAGGGATGCTTTCAAAAGTTCATGGAAAATGCCTATTATTAAAAAACTTTGCATGCATTTAAAAAATGTTTGCACCAAGGAGCCAGCAGCTGGTGTAGTGGTTAACATGCTAGATTCCCACATGGCTAAACATAGTTCCAAGTCCTAGACCCAGTGACTTGAAATTCACTTCACATGCCTGTGCATGCAGGCTCATAATCCCGAGAATACAAAGGAGAAGGGATTATGGCATGACCATTCCCCTGGAGGATGATTTCTCATTCTCTCTCTCTCTCTCTCTCTCTCCTCCACCCCCTGTCTCTCTGGTGAGTATATATACCCTATAGCAAAAATATCTCTCTCTCAAAAAAAATGTTTGCACCAAAATAAATACATATTTAATTCCATTTTTCCACACACTTTTAGAAGTCCCTTTGTATTTTGCTATACAACTAAGACAATAGTTTCTCTAAACGTTTATAACAATAACGATAGTTTCTCTTCTTGAAAAAAGAAAAAATAATTCTACTTAAAACAACTTCAGTGGGATTCTACCCCTTTGGCCATGCATACTAGTAGACTGACTTAAAGAGTTATAAAAATAAGGAGGGGCCAGCAGCTGGTGTGGAGGTTAAGGGTGCTGGACTCCCACATGTGCAGCTTGCTTTCTCACTTTCCTTCTCTCTCTCTTCCTCTCTGATAAAATTAAAATAAGTAAATAACTAAAGCTAAATAAAATAATTCTTTAAAAAACGATGTTTATAGCCTTTTCATCTTCCCAGTGAGTATATATTTCAGTATATTATGATTCTGATAACTCTCCAGATACATGATAATTACATAAGTATGTCCTAAGTTTTCATTTTGAGTTATCCTGCTGTGTAATGACAAAGTTCCCTTCCTAATAGTAAGTAACCAGACCTCCAAGTCATACAACTCTCTTTTGGAACACATAGTTATATTTCAGAGCTGCACAAAGCATTTTTTAAAAGAATTACTTTATTTAACCTTATACTTTATTTATTTATTTATTTACTTACTTACTTATTTTAATTTGACCAGAGAGGGATGAAGTGAGAGAGAAAGCCGCCAGGTCTGGAGCTTGAACCGTGGTCAGTGCCCTTAACCACCGCGCCACCTGCTGGCCCCAACAAAGCATTTTAATATCTCTAACTTTGCCTCTTTAATATCTCAGACTGCCAAGGTAGGCACAAAACTGATCTCTGACAACATCAGTCAGCACAGTGCTAAAGAAATTAAAGTTAAAAGATTTTTATATAAATTTTGCCTGTACTTGCCAGTAGATGTATTATTAAATCACCTGGCTATGGTATTCATTAAAATTTAAACAAGGCAGCACTCAGCAAGTGGTGTGGTGATTAAGGCACTGAATTCCCACATGGCCAACTGCACAGTTCAAGTCCCAGACCCGGTGGCTTGAAAATCACATCAGGCATGTGTGTGTACATGCCCAGAATCACAAGCAGAGAACAGAGGAGAAGGAATTGCAGCGTGGCCATGCCCCCTAGGGAGATGATTTCTCACTTTCCTTCCTTTCTCTCTCTGGCAAGTACATGTACCTTACTGAAAAAAAAAAAAAGAAAAGAAAAGAAAAGAAGAAACAAGACAACTCTTTTGTTATGATACATGTTCTGATGTCTTCTGGGCCTGCTCCTTGCTTTGTTGTGCCAAGTTACTTAGACTAGAAATGCATGTATTAGGTCAGCCAGGTGCCCTGGTGGTTAAGGTGGCTGGATCCTACATGGCCAACTCTGTGGTTCAAGTTCTGGACCTAGCACCTTGAAAAGTATACCAGGCACTTGTGTGTTCATGCCCAAAATATCAGGAGGAAAAGGGATTGTGGCGTGGCTATTCCTCCTGAAAGGTGATTTCTTACTTTCCCATTCTCTCTGTCTGTACATGCCCTATAGCAAAATCTTTTCTTTTTTAATGCGTATATTATGGAAATTAACCCTAGAATAGAATTTTAATTAAATTGGCTTTTTATCTTTCATGTAAAAACATTTTTTTAGTTTATTTACTTATTTTATATATTAGAGGGAGAGAAATAGAAAACTCCCATAGGAGACTGATGCTATGATCCCCTTCAGCTTTCAGCCCTAGATCATGGGCGAGTACATGCCCAGTGGGCATACTCAAGGAGTCTCTGGACTTGAACCAAGTACCTTCCCATGTGGAATTGCCTGGCAGAGCATTGTATTGTATTTTACTGTCCACACCACCATCTGGCCCCCAGTATCTTTCATTTATAGTGTATCTATATTCAAATTACAAGAGGAATGGGCTAGCAGTGGTTCAAATCCAGGACCCAGTGGCTTGAAAATCACTCCACGCATGTGTAGGTCTGTGCCCAAAATACTGACAAGATATAGAAATTACTACATGCCCCATTGTGGGTGCTTCCCTCCAACTCCTATCTTGCTCTTGCAACTGCAGCATCCTCCAGCAATTGAAAAAAATAAGAAGGACTGAGGAAGCCAGCAAGTGGCATGGTGGTTAAGTTGCTGGGCTCCCACATAACTGACTGCAGTTTGAGTTCTAGACTCGGAGGCTTGCTTTCTCACTTTCTCTCTCCCTCTCTCTCTTTCTCTCAGGCACATGCCCATAGCAAATTAAATAATAATAATAGATAAAAATTAAATAAATAATTCTTTTAAAGAATAAAGGGAAAAAAAGGACTGAGGAAAGCATGCTGGAAAAGACAGAGACACATAAAACCACTTGTGCACACTCAATGAATGAATCAGATATAGTCCCATCTAGTGGAATGCTGCCATATTTTTCTCTACTGGGTCATTACAATCACAGGAGACTAATGGTGACTATACTTACTGAAGCAAGCCACGCCACTGCCCTACCCCTCCACCAAAGTATTCTTTGGAAAAATACCTTTTAGCATGGCAATATGTACTGCAAAATCATGTGAAAGCTCCACATTCCTGTGCTTCTAAGAAGCCTGGCAAACTCACCCATGATCCCTGTGGTAGACTGTACTCTCCTCTACCTGGTACTGAACTCAGGCTGCAAATAGTGGCTTCCATTTGAAAGGGCTGCCGAACATCCCAGCTAACGCTCGTTTCTGTGGAGGTAAGAGCTAAATTCCTTTTCTCTCCTTTTATCATCTCTTCTTTCTCTGTGACTGCCCTAAAGTTGCCCACAGCTCTCACTTGCCACAAGTTTAATGTTAACAATCTTTCTGGCCTGTCTCCACTTTTTCACCTCTTACAGGAGCCAAAGAAAAATTTATTTATAAGAATTATGGAATATTGGGACATCATTCTGTAACAACTAAGTGATCGAAGAGCTTTCTGAAATTTCCAAATCTGTCTCATTGTATATAACCTCTTACGTACTATTACATGTGCATGTATTACAACGTACAGCTGATCTAATACAGTAGTGTTCGAATG